TGCAGAAAATAGGCAACTAAAAACCCCTTTCTTTGGCCTCAGTCATAACAGCCATGGTTATAGAACTATATGATAGTTAATTGAATGGAAATTGTGCTTAAAATGAATCTCACTGAAACAGAAAAGGAATACGCTGTGCCATCAAAAGCACCAACAACTATTTCAAGAAATTTTGACAAATGTATTAAAACAACACAAAAATATACTGAGAATGGCATATAAATTGACAGCTTCTGTAATCATAGCATAACTGCAAAAGTATTTTCATTTGTTATAAAAGCAAAAGCTTTGTCAAGACATTTCTAAGTCTATATCCAATGAAACAAGTAAAAGACTAAATATAAAAGGTTGATATTTTATTATTTGTATTTATATTTGTGTTTTGAGACAAGGACTTGTTAGCCTGGAACTTAATCTGTAAACCAGCCTGGCCTGAAACTCATAGATATCTACCTGCCTCTGCTTCTGAAGTACTGGGATTAAAGACATGCTACACCTGGAACACTTATGTAAGACAGAGTCTCAGTAGCTGGCTCTGACCTCCAGATACTCTTAACTACACTTCCCAGAAGCATGATAATAGGTGTGGGCCCCAATTGCCTGACTTTGGATATTTTCAAATTTGCATTGCACATGTGTACATTCTAGTGAGGGTAAATATAAGTCCATGTATTAAAACAGTAATACTGACTATCAATGCAGTACATATAGGTGATACCAAAACAGAGTGTTGAATATGGCAGGAGTATTGTGTATGAGGTTAGCCTAAACTAAAGTGTAAGACTTGGTTTCAAACTACCAAAGAAAAAAGAAACTACTAAGCTCCCCCAAAAAACTAACAAATAAATGCTTAAATTTTGAAGGTAAGTAAAAAATTTAGAAAATATAATAAGTCCCTTTCCAATGACACAGAAATGAAAACCAGGATAGGATGTAGCCTGCCTTTTCCAGCACTTCAGAGCAGAGAAAACTGGGGCCCTCCACATGCTACTGTCTCCTTCAGTGCTGGGATTGAAGGCATGCACCACCAAACCCACTGAGGCCTCCCTTCTTAAGTCCCAGAGTATATGCAGAACATAGGCTGCAGTTTTCTGCAGGAATAATGGTTTTCAAAATGGGCTCTGATTGGGACAGTGGGTGCTGCAGAGTCTAAGACAAGGACTGATATTCAAAGTCTGACACTGTAACAATGGACTGTTAAAAAACTCTGTCAAGTGCTTGACTAGTATTTTCCTGGCTCCATTCCCAGTATATTATAATACAGAGTATGGAGGCGCACACCTGTAATAACAGCATCCAGGTCATGGAGGAAGGAGGATCAGAAAATCCAGATTATTCTCCACTGCTGCAAGCCGCAATAATAGAAAGTAGGATTTCAACTCATATGACAAGCTAATACCTGGAAGAAATTCAGGGCCATTTGTAGGTCAAGCTGAGGCTCAAGGAGTCTTGGTGATATTGGCATTTGATTATTAGCTATTTCCTATTATGAATTTCTTGTGTGCTATGTAGCTTTTCCATCATTTATTGGCTAGTGTTTCCCCTCTACTAATCGAATATTTAGATAACCTCCTGTGCAGTAATACAGCCAGGATCCCTAATTTCAGGCCTTCTGTCATAATCATCATTAGCAGCATCTGGCCAGGATCATCCCTGGATGGAAGAAAGTATCTTATCACAGATACCTCTGTACTCTTTAATAACAGACTTAAGCATCCAGACTATCTGTTTGAGAAGGCCTGGATGATGTGCTTTCCAAAGTCTTATCTCAGTTTTAGATCCTCCTTTAACTATTTAGTCAGAACCTAAATTCTACTTACAGGTACATCAAGCAGACTCAGGAAACCCAGTCATCCAGAGCACTCCCCCGCCCTGCCAAAAAACTGCAGTCACCATGATAGTATGGACAGGTAAGGGGTCAAAGGAAAATAAAGCAGCTTTATTTCCCCTTGTCACTGATAGTCTCCTAACACTTTAATTACCCACTTCTAAGAATATATAGTTGAGCACCTAAAATCCCCCTTGCTCAGAAATAAACCAAATTCAGCCCTTAGTTGACTCTATTCCTCATTTGTCACTTCTTTTTGGGGTTGCAGATGATGTCTGGCAATTACTACTCTTTTGTGTGGATTTCATTGACCCTCCTTTTGACCTTGAGGGAATTCAATCCTGGTGACCTTGCTTTACCCAGAGCATTGCTATTACATGGGTATGTAACTGTAAACCTCAAAGATTTGGGAGGGTGAGACAGAGAAAGGAAAGAAGAATGGAAGAACTAGATAGGAAAGAACTGGAGAGGAACGAACTGAGATGGGGAAGAACTAGATTGAAGGGCTACAAGAGAGTACCAGAGAACAAGATGGAAGATGAGGAAGAAGCAGATAGGGAAGAACAAGATGAGGAAAAACAAGATGAGAATGAAGGAGATGGGAGAGGAGACAAGAAGGGAAAGAACTAGATAGATGAGAACCTAGATGGGGCAGAACTAAGGTGAGAAAATTAAGATAGAACTTAGAGGGAAGGCAGATACATGTAGAGTGAAATCAGGCAAATAGGAGCTAGGCATAAGAACAGAACTGAAGCTGTGTAGATAGAATGTTATCATAGAGGAATAAAGTAGATGGGCAAATGAGCTAGGTGTACTTAGATTTTTTTCTCAAAATAATTCATGCTCTTTGTAGCTTCTCTTCTGGGCCCCTGGGAAGAAGATTGTTAAGGCAATACCCTAATAATTTTCAAGACTCTACCATAGCAATCTGGTGGTTAACTTGGGATCCATGAAACCGCACCCCCCCCCAAACAAAAAGAGAGAAAAAAGATAAACAGCAGATATATGGCAATATATTGTAGCTAGAGTTTTCCTGCCTTGCCCACAGTCAGGACAAATCTTTGTCACCCACCCATCCCACAGTTGCTCAGACCCAACCAAGTAAACACAGAGACTTATATTGCTTACAAACTGTATGGCCATGGCAGGCTTCTTGCTAACTGTTCTTATAGCTTAAATTAATCCGTTTCCATAAATCTATACCTTGCCATGTGGCTCGTGGCTTACTGGCATTTTCACATTCTACTTGTCCTGGCGGCTGCTGGCAGTGACTCCTTCTGCCTTCCTGTTCTTTCTTTTCTCCTCTCTGTTAGTCCCACCTATACTTCCTGCCTAGCCACTGGCCAATCAGTATTTTATTTATTGACCAATCAGAGCAACACGTTTGCCATACAGAACATTCCACAGCAATATATCACTGGGCATATGAGTAACACTATCAGTAAATACTACTATCTGAAAGATTGCAATTTATATTTATGGATTCATGAAAGGAAAACTCCAAGTTATAAAACATGATGATACCATTTCTACAAATCAAGTTCTCTCACTCAAAAATAATTGTGCCTTTCACCAATTTAAAGACACATGTAAAACATATGCAGTTTTGATATATTTCAGATAGAGATAAATACTGAAATATTATATGATCTCATTTACATGGATTGAGGTATAAAACTGAATTCTACAAAGCAGAGAATTGAATGCTTGTAACCAGTGTTGGGGTAAATGTTGGGTTAAGGGTAATGTTGGGTTAAGGTTCTATAATTAGGAGGCTTTGGAGCAGTAGCAGTTTTGAGGTAACTCTAGTTGAGAGTTTGGTTTTATAGAACTTAGAAACAAGTTATCATGGAAATTTAGGGGGAAAGAGGATGGCTGCAAAGATGACTGTAGGGTATGACTGTCAGTCTGCTTGATGGCTGAATCCTGCTCCTGATTACAAAGATGTCAAAAACCTCCTGCATCTTGGATTGTCCTTATAAATGATCTCGTATTTTAAAAGTACAGCATGTAAACTAAGATCTAAGCAGTGGTGTGGGACATGGAACAACATGGTGGACTCCATGGTAATCAGTCTACCTCCTATAGAAGTAAGGTGACAGTGGAAGGAAAGCTATTAATGATAGAGAATAAATTAAAAGTAGAATTACAGATGATTTTCAATGGCACTATCTTGATTACTGACAAGTATCAATGCAAAACCCATAGCTCTCTTCAAAAAGAGTAAATGAAGTTTATTCTGGATCCATTCTGAATGACCAACCATGATTTATAAACATAGATTTTGGTTTATTTCACATTCCATTTCCAACATGGAAGCAGTTTCAAGGAGTTTTTTTAGGTATTTTATACAAAACAAGGTCATAAATCAAGGCAAATTTAAAATACCTTGGGAGTTATATCAGAGAGACAGATACATCAAAATGGGGAACCTTTTCTGTATGTCTAACATGCTGTCTGATGACATTATTAATTTTTGGGTTGGTAGAAGCTAGTTGACTGATAATTTAACAGATTCTAAAAGATTTTATGTTTTGTTTTGCTTTTAATTTGTTAGTGACAATCTGTTAGTTATAACAAAACTTGGTCAAGAAATGCCTGTTCTGAAAAGCTGATCTTAGCCCAAGATAAGATAACTAGTCTCTGGACCTGCAACATTTCAATGTCTCCACAGTACTGAAATTCTAATCAGCCAACCAGTCTCTGCATACAGGGATTCTTTTCAAAAGTTTCATTTACACAGTGAAGGTAAAGTGAAAGGATACTTGGCTAAACATACTATGCTGAATTTTATGGAAAGAAAACACACAATGTCTCTGTTTATGCCACTTCAAGTCCCTTGATCTAGATGTTATAAATTAGGTTAATGATAACTGTGTTTGTAGCTTAGTGGTAGAACTTTTTAAACTACTTTGTATAAAACACTGGATATAATTCTTGGCAATGTGTGGAGGGAGTCCAAGGAGTCCACAAAAGTGAGATATTCCGATTCACTGAAAACCAGAGGGGAACACCCAAGTCCTCGCCCTCTCACATGCATTCATTAAAACCCACAAGGAAGTTATGCTAGGAGATTCACCCTGTGCAAACAAATTATGTCTCATGTGAATGGATTCTCAGTGTGTCACCTAATATGGTTAGTAGCTGTAGGCAGAATAAAAAACGTTCTTACCTCTTGTCCAGAAAGACTCTAGGGCAGAATGATTATATATGAAGATGAAGTCGGAAGGTCACTTGTGTCGCAGCAGCCTTTCCATCAGGCAATTTCCTGCATAGCTTTTACTATAGGTAATTATTCACTCCACAGACAGGATCATCCTAATCCTGTAGGGGTCCTGAACATCCGTTCAGGAATGCTGTATCTCAAAAAACAAGAGTGAAATGTTGTATGAGTTCATAATTGGGGTGGTCATCTAGACAGCTACTTCTAGGATCCAAAAATAACACTTTCATGCTAACATGTGCATAAACTCCATAAGGACTGCTCTACTAGGCTCTTCATTTCATTTCTTGGCTGTGTATCCTTCATATGGTATGGACTAGGCTTTGACAAAGATAGGGGTGAGACCTGTGATAGTTGCAGCTAACATTCAACATACAGCAAAAACAGGAAAACTAAGAAAGACAAGAAAGAAGAAAACAAGAGATATAGGAAAAGAGAAAGATGAAGAGTCAAATGTGGAAAATATACATAATATCCTAATGTATTTGGTGTAATCTATAGGAAGGCATAAATTGGAACATCAGCATAGTACTAGGATTACCTCTAAGTAGTCAACACTCTATAGAGGAAATCTAAGAAAAGAGATGATGAGCACTGCAGCTTAAGGTTCTCCTCAATGTGGAGTTCTGTGAAGAAAGGAAATAAGCATCAAAACAAATAGAGTTTGGTTGTGGAGACAACAGGGGAGGATACTAAATGCATTGTAGTACAGGACAATATTCAGCATCTTGACAATGTATCTTAAACCTGTAGAAACACAAGAACCAGTCAAAAGCAACATAAATAGATGGAAATTAATGATAAAAATTGGAACAGAAATTTAGAGATGAGAAATGGAAAAATAAAATAATAAAGTAATCCTAATCGTAATAACTAAATCATCGTTTCCCAACCTTCCTATTGCTATGACCCTATAATATCCTTCCTCATGTTGTGCTGATCCCTAACCACAAAATTATTTTTGTTTCTACTTTATATTTGCAATTTTGCTACTGTTATGAATCGTAGTATAAATACCTGTGTTTTTATGATAGTCTTATTGACCACTGTGAAAGGATTGTTGATGCCCAAAATGGTGGTGACCAACAGTTTGAGAAACACTTGCTTAAATTAATCTGGGAATAAACAATAAACATAACTATAGAAATGAAGTTTCTCTGTTATGAAAAATTTTAAATCTTGAAGAATGAAATTGATGGATATATCCTCGTGTTATGCATTAGAGTAACTACTATTATAAAAAGAGCTAAACCACAGAAATAGGCAATCTATAGATTTAGTGCAATTCCCATCAAAATTTCAATGATATTCTTCACAGAAGTTGAAATTAAATCCTATAATTCCTACAGAAGCACAAAAGATCCTGGACAACAAGAGCAAAGCTGAACACTGATAACAATGCTATAAATAGCCTCATACTTGATCTCAAGTTATACTACAGCCATATTTAAAAGTGGGAGATGGCAGGGTAACATGAGGAGGAGATGGAGGGGGAACTGGGGTTGGAATGTAAAATAAAAATAAATAAATAAAATTAAATAAACAGCAATATGCTGAAAGCAAAACAGAAATAGCCCTCAGGAGGCAGAGACTGGCAAATTCCTGAGTTGAGGTCAGCCAGATCTATAGAGCAACTTCCATGAGAGACAGTGTCATCTGGTATCAGGGATACTCCTGGAGGCCCACAGGAATGACCTCATGTAGGACTCCTGGTAATGTGGAGAGGGTGCCTGAGTTGGCCTTCTCCTGTAGTCAGATTGGTGACTACCCTAATTGTCATCATATAACCTTTTTCCAGTGAGTGATGGAAGTAGATGTAGATGTCCAAGGCCAGGTACTGGGCCGAGAGCCAGGAGTCCAGTTGAATAGAGAGAGGAAGGATTATATAAGCAAGGGGGCTGGTGGTTAAGATCACAATGGGAAATACATAGAGACAGCTAACTGGAGCTCATGGGAGCTCAAAGACTCTAGATCCACAGCTAGGGAGCCTGCATGGGACCGACCTAAAACCTCTGCATGTGGGTGACAGTTGTGTAGCTTGTTCTGTTTGTGGGTCACCGAGCAGTGGGTACAGTATCTGTCCCTGGCACATGAGCTGACTTTTTGGAACCTATTCTCTGTTGTGGGATATCTCCCTCATACTTGATGCAGCAGGAAGGAACTTAGTCCTGGTTTGACTTGATATGCCAAGCTTTGTTGACTCCCATGGGAGGCCTAACATTTTCTGAGGAATGTGTGGGGACAGGAGCACAAAAGAGGTGGTGGGCAGGAACAGAAGGAGAGAAGGGAGGGTAAACTGTGGTTGGTACCAGACTTGCAGTCTCTTGTCTCTGTTTGAGTTGTTTAAAATGTAAACTAGTTCAGGGTCCTAAAAGAGATTTAAGGATGATAGCATATGTAAACTTCATGAGAATAAGGTACGTATAAATTAGTAGAACAAAAATTATTATCTGTGATTATGTTTAAAAGCTTTAGATTAGCATGGAAACTAGGTTCCTAAAGTGCCAAAGCTAACAATGGGGTATCATGGACTGTCCCAAGCTGACAAAGTACCTGTCTGGGTTCACTCATAGGCAAATGAGGTGAGATTAGTACTGAGCACTGAATGCCTAGAGAAAATGTGACCAAAAAAGCCACAGGCTGTACTAGTGAGGTTCTGGAAGATTTTTAATCCCAGGCAGTAGTTTACAGAGAACATAAATGCTAAATAATAGAGATGATAAAATTTAAGTTTGAGGCTTGTGGTGGTAGCACATGCTTTTAATCCCAAGTGCTAGGTGCAGAGGAGGCTTTCTGTGATTTAAAATATAGCTTGCTCTACATAGTGAGTTCCTGGTCAGCAAGGACTATATAATGAGACCCTTTAAAATATTTTTTTAAAGATTAAGTTTGTCCTATTCAGTTTATCTCACCCGAAGTATGCAGTGTATATTTCTGTCTTGCAACAAGACAAACTGGTGCCAGATGTTGTTTGTCCAGCCCTAGGACTTTTAGCAGTCAATTTGTTTAATGGAGCAGCAAGGTTCATAGTACTGTCCTAGAGCATATGAGAACTGTGGAAATGGCTTGGCAAACATGAGAGCAGGCATAATGGTTTGAATGAGAAAATTTCCCTAGAGATTCTGATATTTGAACACCCGATTCCCAGGTGGTGGCTCTGTTTAGTGAGGTTTCGGTAGTGTAGCCTTGCTGGAGGAATTATATGACAAAGAGTGAGCTTTGCCATTAAAAGAGTTGTGCAAATTCCAGTTTGCTCTCCCTGCTTACTGCTTGTCCTCTACACGCTCTGCTTTATACCTGTATTTAAAGAGATAGCTTTCAGCTTCCTACACCAGCCACCATAATTGGGGAGAACTGTGAAGTTAATCAACACAAGGAGATGATTATTTCAGAAGATAATATGGTAACAAAACTGCTAAGAAAGCAATCAATTAGGCAAATATACTACATCACATTGTGCTCAACAAATATGCATAATTTATATATAAAATAAGATGTCTCTCTTGATCTAGGTCTCTCTGTTTTTATCTCTCTTCCTCTCCTTCTCACTTTCTCTTCTCATAAAGATGGTTAAATAGGGCTAATTGCAATCTTGAGAATAGTAGAAAGAGAAAAAACCTGCATATTGCCCTATTACTTCACATGGGTACTCGGGGCCTACCAATGCGCAGAGTATGCACATGAACACATGCTTGCATGCTCGTGTGTACACACACATAATTATTATACACACACTAGCTATAATTATTTTTTATGTGTTTATTTAAAAAATGTGTATTTGTTTGAAATAACTCTGGACCTTGGAATTATAACCTTTTTATATTAAAAAAAAAACAAAAATAAAAACAAACAAAAAAACATTTAGTGGAATGTTTCCAACAGTGGAAAATACTGAAGGGCCACTGAACTCAATGTTGTATTTACATATCTATATGTGATTAAATAATGATTATAAATATTTATTTAATAAGGTGAAATGCAAATGTGAATATAAGAAGAAGTTATAGATTTTCAACACTATATACAAAGTTCTTTGTTACAAGTAAATATTTATGCTTCTGAAAAAGAAGTGTTTATGGTGTTGTGGTGGTATGAAAGAAAATGACAGTCATAGGCTCATAGGGAGTTCCATTATTAGGAGGTGTGGCATTGTTAGAGTAGGTGTGGCCTTGATGAAAACGGCATGTCTCTGGGGGTGGGCTTTGAGGTTTCAGATGCTCAAGCCAGGCCAGTGGCCCTTTCTCTTCCTGCTGCCTGCTGATCCAGATATTGAACTCTCAGCTCCCATTCCAGCACTGTGTCTGCCTGTGTGTCACCATGCTTCCATGATGATAAATGACTAATCGTCTGAACTATAAGTCAGCCCCAATTAAATGTTTTCCTGTATAAGAGTTGCTAGAGTTATGACATGTATTCTCAGAAATAAAATCCTAACTAGGTCAGAAGTTGGTACCAGAGACTGGGGGGTACTGCTGTAATAGGCCTGACCATGATTTTTCTTTTTCCTTGGAGGAATGTATACTTTGGCTCTTTGAGTTAGGAAAGTAGTCGAATGCTTTAAGCATAGTTTAATGGGCCATATTTATAGGAGCATGGAAGACCATGGCACTGAGGGTGATTCCAACTGTGAGGGCCCAGATCAAGATGTCTCAGAGTAGAATATTAATACATGCTCTATAGACCATTCTTGTTGTATTTTCATGAAGAATGTAGATACTTTCTGGCCTTACCAAAATAAAATCTGTGTAAGGTTAAATTGGAGAGTTTGGATGAACAGCTTTGTCAGAGGACATTTCAAAATTACCCAGCATTGATTATGCTACTTAGTTATTACTGACCAGTGTTATGAAAATCTATAATGAAAGGAAGCAAGCTGAGTAATAAAATATACAGTTTGAAGAGAAAAGCAGCACCAGGAATTCCTTTAAAGAAAAACCTGGTGCTAAATAGAATAAAGGGAGTAGTGACCTCAGGGTAAGACCTGCCCCCCTCAGCTAAGCTTCCAACCAGTGAAAAGGAACTAAGAGGTTAGGTCCAGACATGGTGGCACACATCTTTAATCCCAGCACTAAGAGACAGAAGCAAGTGGATCTCTGAGTTCAATGCCAGCCTGGTCTATAGAGCAGTTTCCAATACAGCTGAGAATAGGTAGTGAAGGAAACATCAAAAACAGCAATATGGTGAAGATGTAATTGAATTAGGGGGCTATGCTCCAGATCCAGCAGTATTAAACTTGACTCAGACATGGAGATGTGGAGTTTAGAGTTTTCCTAACTGGTTTTCAGTCTTGTTTTGGTCTAGTATTTCCTCACAATTCTCCCTTTTGGAACAGTAATGTATATCCTGTGGCATTGTGTGGGGGAAGTATGCAATCTGCTTTGAAATTTTGATTTCATAGAAACCTACAGTTAAGAGAGTGCAATGAATCTCAAAAGCAACTAAGCTTTTAGTCATTGTTGAGACTTTGATAGACTATGGGGACTTTTTTGTTTGTTTGTTTGTTTGCTTTTTGAGACAGGATTTCTCTGTATAGCTCTGACTATCCTGGAACTAATTCTATAGCCCAGGATGGCCACAAACTTTGAGATTCATCTGCTTCTGCCTCCCAAGTGCTGGGTTAAAGCTG